CAGGCCCGGAGCCCTAGATCAAGGTGTTGGGAGCCCGCCACTCTTGCGGGTTCTGGGGTCAGTCGGTCCCAGGCCACCCTCAGCCCCGTCTCTGTCTCTGCCATCACACTGCCTTCTCCCCCGTTTGTCTGTGGTCAAATCTCTGCCCATGAGGACCTCCCCACACACACGTCAGTGACCTCGTCTCTCCCCGGGCACCTCTGCAGTGGCCCATCTGCCCACAAAGTCCCATTCTGAGGTCCCAGGAAGTCCGTCTTCCGGGGCCTCTTGAGGTGACCAATCCTGGTGGCTGACACAGCTCATGGGGGTGGGGCCCCAAGGCCGGAAGCCAGGAGCCTCACGGAGGACATGGTGTCCTGACTCAGGGAGGACAGACGGACAGGCAGAGGCGAGAGGGCGGCCAAGTGGGCAGTCAGCCCTTCCCTCCGGGGAGTGAGGAATCTCTTGAGGGCCGGGCCAGAGCTGGTGGGCGGGACGCGGAGGTCAGAGGCAGGCGGCCTGGTCTGCGACATGTGGGTCACATAACGGCCACCAGCCCCAGCCCTAATGCTAACCCTCCAAACCACCAACACCAAGCCAGATCTAGTCAAACCACACAAATACATCATACAAAAGAAAATTACACCAGTATACCTTGTAAATATGAACGCAAGCATCCTCCACAAAATTAGAGCAACATGAAACGGACGGAACATGAAATGGACGATGCCATTAGCAGCTCTCTCTGCACCAGAAATGTCAGGTTGTTCAACATATTAAAACTAAGCAATGTATTGAACCTCTGTTACGGTGTGAAGTAAAAACACATGATCGTATCAATTACTGCAGAAGCTATAATCAAAATCCGGTGCTATTTCATGATACAAACACTCAAGAAAGTAGGAATAAAAGGAAATTTGTTCAACATGAAAAAGAGTAGTACACAAAGCCACAGCTAACATGCTCAATGTTAAAAACTGAAAGCTTTCCTCCTGAAATCAGGAACAAGGCCAGGACACTGGCCTTCACCACTGTTACTTAATAGTGTATTAGAAGTTCTACCCAGAGTCTTGAGGAAAGAAATAAAAGGCATCCATGTGTGAATGGAAAAATTAAAACTGTGTCTACTCACAGAACACAGATCACATCATCTTATATATAAAACATCCTGTAACAACAAAAAAATTATTTGAGCTAGTCAACTAATTCAGGAAAGTTATAGGATAAAATATCAATTCACAAAAATCTATCTTGTACGTATACGTTAGCAATAAATAATCTGAAAAAGAACTTAGGAAAACAATTTAATTTTAAATAATGTCAACATTAATATTTAAGAATATATTTAATCAAGATACAAGACTTGCTTTTATGTACGTAAAGTTGTCTGCACATTTGAAATTACTGGGAAGTAAATTACTTTTCAAACCACCACGTCAAAACCATGCCAGAAAAGCAGAGAAAACATCAAGCTTCCATACTGAGGCCAAGCCTTACCCAGACCCAGTTCACCCGAAGTCCACATGTCATTTAGAGGCATTGTGGGAAGACTATATTAGGGCTTCCCAATAGAAAGGACTTCCCTTTCTTCCCTGTTGTGGATGACCTGGATGTGGTAGAAACAGTGGGATTTTGGAATTCCAATTTTCCAAAACATTCCCCCAAAAAGCTATTAGAAATAATAAATGAATTCAGTACAGATCAATTCACAGAAATCAACTGCATTTCTAAACACTAATAATGAACCATCAGAAAGTGGAAAAAAAAAACTCTACTTACAACTGCATCAAAAAGAACAAAATAACAAGGAATAAATTTAAGCAAGGACGTGAAAAACCTGCACACTGAAAACTTTAAGACGTTGATGAAGAAACTGAAGAAGACACAAATCAATGGAAAGATACCGCGTGTGCATGGAATGCAAGAATTACTATTGTTAAAATGTCCATTCTGGGCTTCACTCCATGGCGCAGTGGTTAAGAATCTGCCTGCCAATGCAGGGGACAAGGCCCGAGTCCTGGTCGGGGAAGATCCCACATGCCGTGGAGCAACTAAGCCCGTGCGCCACAACTACTGAGCCTGTGCTCTAGAGCCCGCGAGCCACAACTACTGAAGCCCACAACTACTGTTGCGGAGTCCGCGCTCCGCAATGGGAAGCCAGCGCACCACGACGAAGAGTAGCCCCCGGCTCGCCGCAACTAGGGAAAGCCCGCGCGCGTCAACGAAGACCCAACGCAGCCACAAATAAATAAATAAATTTATCAAAATAAAATGTCTATTCCCCCCAAAGCAATGTACACAGTGAATGCAAGCCCTCCTAAAATTCCAATGGTATTTTTTCACAGAAATAGAGCAAAGTCTCCTAATATCTGTGTGGAACCACAAAGGACCCCAAATAGCCAAGGCGACACTGAGAAAGGAGCACAGGCTGGAGGCATCTCCCTCCCCGACTTCACACTACCGGTATGACGCTACAGTCACCAACACAGTGCGGAACTGGCACAAAAACAGGCGCACGGACCAGAGGCACAGGACAGAGAGCCCAGAATTCAACCCACATGGAGGGGGTCCATTCATTTATGACAAAGGGGCCAAGGACACACCAAGAGGAAGGACAGTCCCCGCCATAAACGGTGCTGGGAAAACTGGACACCATCTACACCACACACCAAACTGACTAAAAACCCAGCTTTCCACAGCAAGCGCTTCTGGGTCGTCTGAAAACAGACGTCAGTCACCCAGAGGAAGCTTCTCCCCACTTCTCCTCACCTTCTCCTCCCGGCGTCGCCTGGGTCGTCAGGAAACCCAGCTCCCGTCAGCGTGGACGCAGCCCCGTGTTGTCCTGAAGCTGAAACCCCGGCGAGTCCTAAGGAGACTGAGCTCTGTCAGCAGAGACGCTGACCCGGACGTCCCAGCCGAAGCCCCGGCGGTGCCTGAGGAGACCCAACTGCTCTCAGCTGGGCGCAGAGTCGAGCCCGCGGGGAACGCGTGTGCGCAAGCTCAGGAAGTCTCCCCACTTTCTCCTCACAATTTCCTCCCGCGTCGGCACCTCCGGGCAGGTCCTGAGGAGACTGGACTCCTGTCAGCGAGGACACGGCCCCGCGTTGTCCCGAAGCCCTGGCGGGTCCCGAGGAGGCCGAGCTCCCGCCAGCCGGCCGCAAACCGAAGTCCGGGGGCGGAACTCGCACGCACGGCGGGGTCAGCCGGGTGGGTTGCGCGCCCCCTGCGGGACGCCCAGGAAGTGCAGGCCCCGCAGCGCTCCGCTTTCAGCCAGGCCGCACTCCCTGCGGGCCCTTGGGCTGCTCCCACTAAATTTTGGAAATTCAAATTGAAATCGAGCTGAATATCCTGCCGTGTCTTCTCAAAACATAGTTAAGGAGCAGCTAAGTGGAAACCATATGCAATGAAATGAATGCAGACAGAAGCTTTACAACTGACACCGAAAGGCACTCAAAATTGTCCACAAGTTTAAATCGCAAAACTAACAATTCTAGAGAAGGGACTTCACTGGAGGCCCAGTGGTTAGGACTCCGCACTTCCGATGCAGGGGGCGCAGATTCATCCCTAGTCAGGGAACGAAGATCCTACATGCCCTGCAGCACAGCCAAAATAATAATAATAATAAAATTTTAATTAAAAAATATGAGCTAGTGGACTAGACAGTGATGGCGGGTGGCCTCGGCCTGCAGCGGCTTGAAGCAGGGTTTCGGTTCCCTGCCAGAGATTGAAGTCAGGCCGTGGCAGTGAGAGCGCTGAATCCTAGCCACTAGACCACCAGAGACCAGGGGCCAGTGACAAGGCCCTGGCCTATCAGCTGTGTAGAAATGCATTTCCACATAGAGATGGAAAATAGTGAAACAAGTAAAGTGTTTATTAGGAGGAAAAAGGGTACATGTAGATTGACACAAGGGCAGGCTCAGAGAGAGATTTTGCGCCCTCATGGTAGTTTGAATCACTTTTATGGGGCATTTCTTCCAGGTTTCCTTTGGCCAATCATCTTGCTTTGCCTGGTTCTGAGTCTGTATTTGGTTTATCTCAGGGTCCTCCCATGTGTGCGCGTGCATCTCTTAGCCAAGATGTAGCCTAGAGAAGAGGCCTATGGGTAGGTTGGCATCACTTACTGTGGGGTGTCGCCCCCTCCCTATTTGACCCCCAGGAGCCTTTCTGCGCATGTGTAGTCGGAGAGGTCTCCTTGACCTCGAGAATGAGGAATATGTGGTCTTTTATCTCTTATCTGGGCAGGACTCAGCTCTTCTCTTTCTCCTCATCTTGGAGTATCTGTCCACATGGGACAAACTCCAGCTGCTCAGCCTGGGGCCCGTCTATCTCCTGCCTCAACAGGAACTCTCCTTCCTTGCTGGTGGGATGCACGTACAGCCACGCTGGAGGTCAATTTGGCAGTTTCTTCCAAATCTAAACAAATCTCACTTTAGGATCCAACAATCACACCTCCAGTATTTAGACAACTGCTTTGAAAAACTGTATTCAAGGGGCTTCCCTGGTGGTGCAGTGGTTGAGAGTCCGCCTGCCGATACGAGGGACACGGGTTCGTGCCCCGGTCCGGGAAGATCCCACATGCCGCCGAGTGGCTGGGCCCGTGAGTCATGGCCGCTGAGCCTGCGCGTCCGGAGCCTGTGCTCCGCAACGGGAGAGACCACAACAGCGAGAGGCCCGCGTACCGCAAAAAAAAAAAAAAAAAACTGTATTCAAACAAAAACTAACATAAAATTATGCACAGCCCAAGACTGTTGTTTTGGGATTTTTTGGTTGTTTTTTTGTTTGTTTTCTTCTTAACTCCATAGACATTATAACTGTACATACAATCAATGTTTGTATTTACCACTGTTTTTGTTATTCATTCTTTCTTGCAGCTCAGACTTCTGAAATATATCCTTCAGTAGAGTCTGAACAGGGTGGGGCTAGTGAGGCACCAGGGGCACGACATTCAAGGAGGAGCTCCTAGGACTTCCCTGGTGGTCCAGCGGTTAAGACTCCGCGCTCCCAATGCAGGGGGCCCAGGTTCTATCTCTGGTCAGGGAACTAGATCCCGCATGCCGCCACAACGAAGATCCCACGTGCCGCAAGTAAGAACCGGTGCAGCTAAATAAATATTTTTTAAAAATTATGCACAGCACATTCCTAATGGCTAAAAACTTAAAGATATCAGGATGTCCTTCTGTAAATGAATACATAAGCAAATTGGGGCACATACATGTCAAGGGGAGCAGAATGTGCCACCCCAAAATATGTCTCTTTGGCATAAGGATTATTGTGAGCTCATTTATTTTTTTTTAATATTTATTTATTTATTTGCCTGATTCAGGTCTTAGTTGTGGCCCGCGGGATCTTCATTGTAGTGCCCAGGCTCCAGAGCATGTTCCCTGACCAGGGATCAAACCCACGTCCCCTGCATTGGAAGGCGGATTCTGAACCACCGGACCACCAGGGAAGTCCCTGAGCTCATTTATTTTTAATTAATTAAGTTTAATTTAATTAATTAATTTGGGTGTGTCAAGTCTCAGTTGAGGCACACAGGATCTTTGTTGAGGCATGCAGGATCTTTTTTTTGTTTTAAGTTGTGGCATGCGGACTTTAGTTGCAGCCAGCGGGCTTCTTAGTTGCTGCATGCAGACTGTTGTTTGCGGCATACGGGATCTAGTTCCCCGACCAGGGATCGAACCTGAGCCCCCTGCATTGGGAGCTCAGACTCTTACCCACTGGACCACCAGGGAAGACCCTCATTTATTTATTTATTTATTTATTTATTTATTTATTTATTTATAATAACTTTTTTATTTATTTTTGACTGCGTTGGGTCTTCGTTGTTATGCGCGGGCTTTCTCTAGTTGTAGCGAACGGGGGCTACTCTTCATTGCAGTGCGCTCCCTCATTTATTTATTTATTTTTTATTTATTTTTATTTTTTATTTTTATTTTTTGCCATATGTGGGCCTCTCACTGTCGTGGCCTTTCCCGTTGCCGGACGCGCAAGCTCAGCGGCCATGGCTCACGGGCCCAGCCGCTCCGCGGCATGTGGGATCCTCCCGGACCGGGGCACGAACCCGTATCCCCTGCATCGGCAGGCGGACTCTCAACCACTGCGCCACCAGGGAGGCCCCCTCATTTATTTTAAAAAACAGCAGACACAGGAGAATCTCTGAAAAATGAGTAGAATTTGCCCTTTTGGGAGGGAAATTTACATTTATGCAAATCTCCATTTGAAAGGGTTCTCCCTCTCCGCACAGGGACTTGGAGGATGACTAAATCACATGAAACTGCTGTCAGTGGAGAAGACCTAACTTAAATCTGCATAAGAATCATACCCTTGTCCACTGTGCTTTGCCTGATAAGCTCCCTTACTGGCTCCCCCCCAACCCCATTATCTTTCTTTTGTTTTTAGCTGAAGATGGCATTTAAGGAAATAACTTGGGTCATTTAAGGGAGTTACTCAGTTTTCCTGGGTATCTCCCATGTATACAATAGGTATACATGTTATCAAACTTCTATTTTTTTTTCGCCTGTTAATCTGTCTTTTATTGGTTGGGGGTAAGGGGATCTCAAGCAAGAACCTAGAAGGGTAGAGGGAAAATTATTTTTCCTCCCGTACACATGCAATGGAATACTATTTACCGTTAGAAAGAAATGAACCATCAACCCATGCAAAAACATGGATGAATCTTACATATGTCACCGTGCAACTCAGATTGGGACTTGAACCCACGAGGGAGTGGAAGTTACAGATAAGCAAGGGGAAAACCTTTGCCCTCATAATCCTGGATCTGGGCTTCCTGGGAGGACGATGTGGGGAGTCGACTGGCTGGGGGAAACACAGATCTTCACACTTGGAAGACCCTGCAGACATAGGAACCTCACACCCCATCTTTCCACCCACACCTGCAGCACACACTCAGCCCTCCATAATCAGCCAGTTGCAGTTTTTAAGACATTCTTGGGACTTCCTTGGTGGAGCACTGGATGGGAGTCAACCTGCCAATGCAGGGGACGCAGGTTCGATCCCTGGTCTGGGAGGATCCCACGTGCCACGGAGCAACAAAGCCTGTGTGCCACAGCTCCTGAGCCGGTGCTCTAGAGCCCGCAAGCCACAACTACTGAAGCCCGCACACCCTAAAGCCCACATGCCGCAACTGCTGAGCCCACATGCCACAACTACTGAAGCCCACATTCTCTAGGGCCCGTGTACTGCAACTACTGAGCCTGAGTGCTGCAACTACTGAAGCCCGCAGGCCTAGAGCCCATGCTCCACAACAAGAGAAGCCACCAGAATGAGAAGCCCGCGCACCGCAACGAGGAGTAGCCCCCCGCTCGCCGCAACTGGAGAAGGCCCACGCGCAGCAACGAAGACCCAATGCAGCCAAAATAAATGAATAATTTTAAAATCTTAAAAAAAAAAAAAAAAAAAACGACATTCTCATCCCCAGGAAGATAAAGGAGTGTGAGGGTCTTGAATTACCCCAAAGCTGTCCCAGGGGGCTGGAGCCAAGGTGAGGATGCCTGGGCTTCTGACCAGCAGGTGAGAGGAAGGAGGAAGGCCAGTCCCAAAGGCAGGGCTCCCCTGAAGTCTGTGAGCCCTGGTGCCCTGATGGGATTCATTCCCAGTGGGGACATCAGCGGGGCTGCAGTGGTTCTGTGTTCCACCCAAGCCCCTTTGATGAAGCCACAGCAGTGCCAGGCTCAGGGGTCTCCTGGTGGTATCTCAAACTCTGACACAGCAGCTTGACAAAGGAATTAGAGAATGTACTTCAGAACCTTCCGAAATGAGGGAGACTCAAAAATAAAAAGAAATGAGGGAGAGAAGAGTGCAATTGAAAGAGAAGAATCTGAGGAGCTTTTCCTGTAAGTGCCCCTGTTGGGAGAGGCAGGGATGGAAAAGCAGGGAACTGGTGGACAGCAGCCCTCACCAAGCACCTCCCTCACACATGGGCGGTTTTGAAACACAGAGGACCTCATGCCCTCCTGGAAGAGAGTAGTCCCAAGACCCACATGCATCTGCTGCTTTGGGAGGGGGTCGGGGTGGGGGACGCCTCACCCAGCACGGTCTCTAGGTGACACTCCGGTCACCTGACACATCAAAGGCCACCTACGAGGGGACCCTCCCATGAAGACCTCTGAGAGGTGAGTCTGAGCAGGGTAAAGCGGGCTGGAAGGAGGGGGTGCAGGCCTTACCAGGGATGTCATCTCGAGGCCCCTCCAAGTGGCAAGGTCT